CCTCCCGCCTCGGCCTCCCAGAGTGCTAGGATTACAGGCGTGAGCCACCGCGCCCGGCCAGAAGATATACTTTTAAATAATATTACCAGAGGCTCATGCCTATAATCCCAACACTCCAGGAGGCAAAGGTGGGAAGATCACTTGAGCCCAGGAGTTCAGGGCTGCAGAGAGCTATGATCATGACAGAGCAAGACCCTGTCTCAAAAAAAAAAAAAAAAAGAAAAAAAATTTACAGGAGGAACCAGTTAAGAAGCCACCTTTTGTCCAATAGATTCATTATTACCCCTCTAAATTATCTTCCCACATTAGGCCCAAAAACTCCATTTAGAATGACTGGCTTTACAGTCCCTTTTTAGTCCTGAGATAATTTCTCCAAAAGTTATGCTGGATTCTGAATTTAGAGAAAAAGATACAGAAATGGAAATCTCTTTTAAAGTTTTTTTTTTTTTTAATTCTGAAATCCTTTCATTAAATGTTTGAGATTAGAACATTTCTTACCAGGCAAACCATCAGTAATTTCCTGAACATAATTGAATTAGCCTCAACTTTTATTCATCTGCTTTCTTGAGTGGGAGAGAAAGGGGAAAAAAAGCCTGGGATGCTACTCATAGCCTATCTTCCACATGGCACTGCTTAAAGGAGTGACAATTATTGCGTGGTGCTATACTTCTCCCAAAATTGTTTTGAGTTTCACCCAAATCTAGATTTCCTCATGAGATTATGTAAAACAAACATTATCTTGTAGGTGATAACAGAAAAAGGGTTGAGAATCACAGGACTACTAGGCCTAAGAGTAGACATTAAGAGAGTCCCTTCATCCTTTTCCTGTCAAGGATCCAAAACAGAGCTATATAAACAATGCCCAACTTGGGAATACTCCTTTCTTACGTTTTACACTATAAAGAGATAAAACTTCTTAAATAAGATTTTAAAAAATTTAGCAAAGGTAAAAGAGTCAGAGTATCTTAAAGATTTTTGAATGAAGGAGGGCCTTAAGTCCTTTAGATCCCTTTCTCATTGTCATCCCTCATCTGAAGAAAAATTTTAGGTGCTAAGACTTGTGGAGGCACAGTCAGGATTTGGTGGTTTTTAGCTATAAAGCTGTAGAGAATAAATGGAGCTAGAGAAGAGGCTCAGTACAAAGAAATGGGCTTTCTTGCTAATGAGTTCCTTGAGGTGCCTACAACAGTCAGCCCAGCTAACTAGGTAAGAAGGATTCA